GCTCCCATCATTTGCTACTTTAATTCATAAATATCTGCCTAAAAACTCTATTTTTTGCCCAACCTTTAAATTATACATACTCTGCATGTCAGAAAATGTCAAAATTGATTTTATTTTTCTGAATCTGTTTGACATCTAATACATATGAATGACAATGGCCTTTTTTATTCTCACAGTATCCCTTAACTATATGCAAATATAATATCCAGTATTATGACTGACAGTGTTTTATTAGTGCCTGTGGAACAGGTGTCCTGAATCTGTGGTGTTCTTGATATTCCAAGGTTTATTCAAAGGGTGTCTGTTCTTACATTATTGATACTTTAGATGTAATGCTGTTGGAACATTTCTTAGTAATTATTCATACCTGCAAATGTCACCGCAGTTGGCAGAAAAAAAAAATGGCAGAAAATATACTGTGGCCTGTAAATGTTAAAGCTTTGTGTAACTATCTCTTTGCTCATCAATGCTATTGGATTCAGTAAACCTATCAATTACTCGGTCTGACAGGACACAGACTCTTTGGGGATCACATGGACCTCTGGACACTACTATGTGATTACCTTGGTAGCTCTAACAGTTGTATTCAGGCAAATGTAAAGCAAGGAAAGATTGAAGTTTGCACTCTAAAACAATTCAGTTTAAATTTAAAGAAAAAAAAATAACAAGCAAAGAAGTAAAATAATGATGAATGATGACAAAACTGGAGAAACATGCCACCACTCTACCCATAACTAGTGATCCCCCTTGGTTGTTGGTATTGTCTCTTCGTTCTTGAACTGTGGGTAGTGCAAAGGAATGAACGGTTGTTTCTGCCTGATGTAGATAGTTTAATGTAGTCCAAGAAACACAGATTCTAGGTTGTGGTTTTTTGTTTGTTTCTCTCGGAATACACATGGCGAAAGATAGCCATGTTCAATCAGCAGATAAAATCTTCGTGGTGCAATACCAAATGCTCATGCTGGCAGATACATTGGAATAATTCTCCAGAAATAAATATTTGTCTATAGAGTTAGTTTTACCATTGTGCAAATATGCATTGAGGTCAGACATGGGAAAAGACCACCCTGAGTGTTGAAAATGAACCCTAGGCAGGTGCTTGTTTGTGAAAGGTTGACATTTTCCAAAGATGAGAATTGTCTGCACGAAATTTATGAACATTCTTAAGGGATCTGTACGGGAGATTATCGTTAGTAAAGTATCCATAGGAATTGGAAATATGTAATATAAAAAGACACCTAATTCATTACCACCCCCCGTTACTTTTTTCCTGAAACAGATTATTGAGTGTGTGTGAAAATATATGTGTGAATACTGATGTTTTGTTATGCTTCAATAGTTTTATTGTATTATGATACTATAAGCAGCATAATATTTGTGTGTGTGCATTTTTTAAAGCAGAAAGACTGCAGCTGAGCCCTTAACAAAAATAATGGTATTTAATAAAATAGATTCAAGTCACATATCCCTGATTATTATGCTTAGATTTTTCTGTGTGATGTCAATATATTGGTACAAATCTCTTGGGTGTGACACATCAGAAGTTGTAAAGTCCTTCGGAGTGACTGAAACTAAGGAACTGTCTTTAGCAGGATCTGCACTTGCATTTGAGGGCTGTGTGTGATGGTCTTTTTGCTGCTGATTATATCAGCCATCAGCAGTGGCAAAAACAACGGTTTTTTAGGAGCCTCGATCCAAGCTTAGCACTTCTTCCATCAACTTGGTTAGGCAGCATTGACTTTTCATGTTGTCTTGTCTATATAGGATTCTCATTTCCAGTCTTGCAGTGTATATTGCACTGGTGACTGGTTTTGAACCTCATAATATTAGAAACATGTCCTTCATTATCAGTTCTTATTGGGACAGGATAAAGCAATGCTGTAAAAAACTGAGAAATATCACATTATTTATTTTAGCTACTTAGCTGAAGTAAGGCAGAACTTGTGTAATGAGGAACTGATAAACCAATGTCTGCAGTCTATCAAAGAACCAAATAAATTTTGCAAAAGGCACTGGTTATATAGTAAGGAGGAGAATGGGGAGGCTGAGAAATGTTTAAATATAGTATAAACTGAACATGTGTTGTAAGTGATTGGACTTGTGTGCTTACTTCTGCATGATAGCTGCTCATGAGGAGGTGATAAGCCGTAAGAGAATGTGTTCAAAGGAGAAATTCATGAGATTTGGGCTGCTGAATAGATTGATGTCACTGTGGACCTTTTAAGCATTAATGCAATCTTACAGTTCCACATCATACACTATCCTGAATTAAGAATGCTGTCCAAAGAATTCAGAGTTGAACTGATAGGGAAGTATTAGAAAGTCTGCAATAACAGGGTAGCCAAGGACCCGGTGCGGATCAGATTGTCCTTACTGTTTGATAGGTAGCATGTTCACTAGCATGCTGCTGCATTATGCCAACTGACACGTTCCAGAAAAAGCATGGACATGATCTGGAGAATGCCGTGTGCCAGGGGAAGAAGGAAGTATGGGCAGAACAACTTGTTTTCTGGGAAGAAGAATTAGCCATATGGGCATAAACCATTCCATACTATTTGACCTTAAAGTTGGAGAACAAATCCTGGAACTCCTGTTTAAGTTACCTGTATAAGAATAGCCTGATGTATTTGGAGAGCCAAAAGTTCCTGGAAGGCGATCATATTCAGTGGGATAAAGTGATGCATGGTCTGTGGGAGAAGCAAACCATCCATAACCCAGATCACAGTTTGATGTCAAAGGCAGTAGCTGATCCCCAGCTAGTAAAGCTGATGTCATTGAAATGAAGAACTCATCCTTTTTATTGGAGATGAGGGTTTAATCTGCAATGTTTTTATACTCTCCTTTTTGTCTTCGAGTTCATGCCTCAGGCTCCTTCTGCCAGCATTAGAGTTAAAAACTATATGTATTTGAAAAAGGTTCCTACAGACCTAACTCATCGGAACATTTTGTCCCAATTTCAACGAGGATGTTCATGGGAGTGAGAATTGGAGTGTCCGTGTGCTTTGAAACAATTCAAATCTCTACAATCTTGTTTTGTTAAACATCGTCTGATGAAGCTTGGAAGTTATTTTAGCCCACATTTATGGGAAAAAAAACTAAACGATGACTGACTGTTCCTTTTTGGATTTTATTTATATGAAAGCTAAAACATGTTTATGAAACTGAATCTTTTTATCCCTTTCTCTCTAATTTGCTATCTTTTGTTGTATCGGTGTATTTGTGTTCTTGATGATTTCTTTGTTAGAGTATTTTTGTAAGCTTTAACATTTTTATCTGTATTTTTAAGCCAAGAATTTATGTAAAAGCAAAACTGTTGTATAAATAGATATTAGCAAAGTTATGAGTCTCAAAACTGTTGTATAAAGGGCTGTTTTAAATAGATATTAGCAAAGTTATGAGTCAGGGAACAGTTACCTAATTAGCTAAAAACTTGTTATCTAACATGAGAAGAAATTCTCCATTGGGAAGATAATAGATTTTTTTACTCAGATAACACTTCAGATATAAATACTGAATCTGAATAATAATAGAAAAAGAAATGTGATACTCATTGCTGTGGATGTTGTTTAGACTTTTAGGGCAGTGCTATATCTATGATATAACTCTAGGACACTCATATAAGAATTTGCCTGTTAAAAGCCTTTTTAGTCATATTTACTCGATCTCTTGAAGATACTCAGAAAATGTCTAGAGAGGGTCCTGGGCCAGGTACTTTGGGTGACCCTGCCTGAGAAGGGGACTGGACTATATGATCGCTAGAAGTCCCTTCCAACCACAACCATTCTGTGATTCTATGAAAAGAATCGTTCATTTTGTATATTTTTACACTTTGCTGCCATTCCTTGTTTTGCAGTTTAATAGCACACCAGCAGTGCAACAACTGTTGCTCCAGGGGTGCATAAAGCTGGGGATAAATCAGAGTTTATTCACAGTAATTATCTGTTTAGTAGTAGCCAAGATTAAGTTCACGATGGAAGATGGAAGAGTGGATCTTGGGAGATCACTTGATTCTTTAAGGATTTCTGACGTTGACATTTATATAGCATCCAGCATAGCAGGGATTCCACCCACTGTAAAAATATCAGAATCATTCAACTGAAAGCAAAAAGTAGTATTTTTGCCTTTAATTCTCCTGAACAATTTATGGAAGATATGAAAAACAAATTGTTCATTAGGGGAAAGCGATTCTATTTTGAACTTGGAAGATTCTTTCAATGACAGGAATATAGCTTATAATAAATATCTTTTGTAGCTAAATATTAAACTCCCTTCTGGAAGAAATAAAGTTTCCCTGCTACATTAAACAATCTAATAGCATTTTTTTCTCTATTATTTAAAACTGAAGAATTAAAATCATTAACTGGTACTGCTGATCTAAAGAGCAGTATGCGACAGGAGGATGGTGTCTATCTCAGAGCACATCATTAGTGTGAGGGGAGGAAACCATGAACATCTTGAAAGGTACTTAGTGGATGTAGGAAACTGCCATGAAGTAGCTCTGCCATAGTAGAGCTGCCATAATTACACAGGTTTGTTTCTGCCTTATAAAGTGTGTTCCTTTGTGAGGAAAAAAGTGACTAAAAAAAAAAAAAAAGCTTTTAAGAGATTTCTTTTATGTGACATTCCATGAGGCATTTCAACTCAGAATTCCTGAGCAGTTCCTGCCTTTACTTTGAATTCTCTAAGAAATCCATAGACAAGAGCTGAAACAAGTAGTTGACTAGCATTTTTTTTTTTCTGGACTTCTTTAGTGAACTTTTTTAATGTTTTGTATGTTTTTTCAGGACCTTTGCTTTGAATTCTCTAAGAAATCAATAGACAAGAGCTGAAACAAGCAGTTGACTAGCATCTTTTTTTTTTTTCTGGACTTCTTTAGTAAACTTTCTTTAATCTTTGTTAACTATAATAAATAACTGAAAAGTACATATACTGTTTTTAATGATTAATTATCTCTTATATATTTTTAATATAAGTTTTTAATGTTTTGTATGTTTTTTCAGGTTGGTTCTTACTTGAAGACCCCTAAATACCCAATTTGGTTGGTATGCAGTGAAAGTCACTTCAGTGTGCTTTTTTGTTTGGAAAAGAATTTATTGGGTGACTGGAAGACAGAACAGAGATTTGATCTATATTATTATGATGGCTTGGCCAATCAAGAAGAAGAGATACGGTTAACAGTTGGTATGTACAGCACATTACTTGTGCATTTTATTTTTGGTGGTGTCTAGAGCACCGCAACCAAAAAAATAATGTGATAATACAAAATTGAACAAGTCCAGGATGTCTCAGGTGTTAAAAGATTGTTTGTGTCCTTGTTTTCCTCATTTCAGAAGCTAGTTTTGATAATTAATTTGAAATAAAATTTCACATTGAAATTTTGAGAATAAGGTCTTAAAAGTGTTGAAAAGAAGCATGTACAGTCTTTAGAGAGATTGCTAACTCTTCCTGCTAGTCTAATGGAGTGCTGGGGCCTTTAGCGTATGTCAAGTTGTGGTAGTGAATGCAAGTCTTTCTCCCAGTTATTTGTCCTCTTGCTTTAATTTGGATCCATGGCATTCTATTGTAGTAATCACATTATTTATTATCTCAGCAAATTAATCAAACTCCGCAGGTCTGTAGTTGTCAACTGTTTTACATCATATAGTCTATTCCAGATATGAAAAATTTACTAAAACAGATTATACAAAAACTCACTATATCTTTTCATGAAAGCAGTATATTATAATGTAATACAAATCAATTATAATCTCCCCCTCCCTTATTTCATAGGTTCATAATTTTTTGAAAGATGTATTTTAGGGTGAACTTTTTCCATGATTTATTTCTCAGTTATATATTGTCAATGCAAGAAAAATAATCTCTTTGCTGATTTTATGCTTTGGAGGTGACTGCGTGGTCACTATTTTCTGATTCAAGAAGAACCCCAATTATTCATTCTGACTGTAAAAAGAGGGATATTTTTTGAGGTAAGGAAATTCTTTGTAAGAGACACTGATAATACAATTCAGCATAGGGCTAATGAGAGACATGGAGACATGCTTGTTCTATTTTGTTCTTTTCTGTCACATACAGTCCTGAACAGGGTTTCTCATCTATATTTTCTTCATTAATAAATCAGGAACATTTCCAAAGTTCAGATATACCAAGAAGTCTGAGATCTCAGGATGAGAAAGTGATTAGAGCTTGTATCTGTTATTTCTTTATGATTCAACCTGCTGTAGCATTTATTTCTCCTCAAGAATTTAACTTGCTTTGAAAGGTAGACATTTTTTTTTGTTTTATAGCCTCTTCCAGGGGTGTGTCCTAGTAAATCTTCAGTTATCTGTGAAATTCTGCAAAAAGCTGTAAAATCCAAATAGTTTCATCATTCCAGGCAAAACCTTTCCTAGTTCTGGCTGCATAGTAATCCTTTGTTACGTCTGGGGAAAAACTGAAATTCCTTTACCTCTTAATGGTTACACTGATGATAAACCATATAGCACAGTACCAGGTGGAAATACTATGGTGCTAAGAATTACTGGTATTTCCACATTGGAAATACCAATAAGCTATTATGATTAGGCACCATTATACAGAGATGCTAGGTGAGGTCCTGGGTACAGCACAGATGCTTCTCCACTAGTTGTTTGCTTTTAGCTAGTGTATGTGAGAAGGGGAATTCCTTAAAATTGAGATTTTTATTAGGAAGGATATAATCAACATCACTTTGCAGGAAATCTCAAAGAAATTTCGCTGGCAATTACACAGTGTAGCATCAATGCTCCTCGCTTCGCATAGTTGTGTAATATACATTTAACTCAGTTTATCAATTAGGTAACTTAGGCAAACATTCCTTGCCTTCCTGCTTAAGATATAACTTTCAGTGATACTTTTTCATATTCCTTACTATGAAATGTCTCCATTCAACATATCTTGCTTGGAAGAACTCCAGTCTAAAATTCACAATTCACCTCTAAAAACTGTTATAAACTCTTGAATGTTAAGATGGAATAAGCACTTGAAAATTTTCAAGGTTTCAGCTTACCTCTAAGTTCCTGAGTTTCTGGGAGAAAACTGCCATTACTTTATGAACTTCTAAACTGTGTCCATTTTTTAAATTACTGCAGACCTAAAGTAATTCAGGGTTTTCTGCAAGGGTGTTTATACTGACCAGATCAGCAGGCAAGGGAGAGTCAGGTCATCTCCGTGAGATAAGGAAGCCAGATATATCTGAGATTGACCTAACTAGTGTCTGGTGGCACTGCTGGTTTTTACCTTTCTGGCTTCCAGAGGGGCTGATCAGCCATTTAGTGAAGAGCCATTAATGTCCCTCTGAAGCACAGGGCATGACAAGACCTTTCCCCAGAGTTTAATCTGTGTGTTTGTGTATGTTTTATATATATATATATGGTAGAATAGCAAACACCACAAACTTTTTCACACACGTGTTGATACGGCAAATTCCTTTTCACTTACACCAGTGATTTTCAGGATATTAAGGAAACTGAGGTACCCCCTGCATGTCTATGATCATACACCAGATCATGGTGCAATGAGATCAGCTGCAGCTGTTAATGTAGAAACAGTCACTCCCATCCTGTCTAGATCGGTCTCACTGTATTGGGTCCATATCCTATACTGGTTCAGCATCATTCGTAGTTAACAGCCTGCCCACTGACTGGATGATGGATAGAAAAATAATACAAAAGAAGCCAAAAAAGCCTCTTCTGCTGCAGTCTGAAATATTTTACTCCAAAACAGGAAACAGCTGAGCAGACTGACATCCAAGCTAGTCTCAGGATGTTTTCTCCCTGGGAAGTTCAGCAACTACTTTCACTGTTGACAGATCCAATTTCTGAAACACTGATTTCTCTGTTTTCCCCGGAACAATGCAATTACCTCTCTGTCCCAAAGTAATGCTCAGAGTCTGTGTTAGCTCTTTTATATCCAAAATGACATCTGTGGTCCATGAACTGTACCCCGCAAAAGTCAAAGACCATCTTCCCTTCCAGGGAAAGGATCTTGAGGGATCCAGTTTGGACTGGATAAATAAGAAAACTTCATTTTTCATAATTATCATATCAGCTGCAAAATAAACTCCTTTTGGTCTATGTTTTCCTTGAGACCATGTTTCTGTTAGTAAAATAACCTGGGTCAGGACATCGGCTGGAACACTGTCCTTAAGACGCATCCTTAGCATTAAATAGTCAGCACATTTCTGTGAAAATTTTGGGCCCGAAACAACTAACTGTTCCGAATAACTTCTGAGCACAACCTAGGGGTAATTTACGATAAAAAGTTTGCATTCAGTCACCCTCTCTCAGGCTTTGGGCTGTCTTCATAAGAACAGGTTGTAGACCGTGAGCTAAGAGGGTGCAAGAGCTGAGTAAAGCAGCGTCATGACCTGCACATTGACCACTCAGGTTGCTGTCTAAGATGAACTATAAAGTCCATGCTGTTTAAAATAAGATATGCATATGGTATCTACTCTTGGCCCTGTCCAAATGATGTGAATGAGAGTGTGGGCTAATATTCAAGTGCCAGGAGTGCTAGCCTTGCAGAGCATTTCCATCTGAAGTGGGAATATCCTTTCTGTGGGCTAGGTGCTTTGCAGTGTGAGCAGTAGTAACTCTTGGTCTAATCTAATACTTCTATGGTTGGGGTTGCTACTGCAGAATAGAGATGAATAAAAATATAGAATCATAGAATGCTGAAGGTTGGAAGGGACCTCTAGAGGTCATCTAGTCCAACCCCTGCACACGCAGGGTCACCTAGAGCACGTGGCACAGGACTGCATCCAAGCGGGTTTGGAAGATCTCCAGAGAAGGAGACTCCACAACCTCTCTGGGCAGCCTGTTCCAGTGCTCTGGCACCCTCACTGTCAAGAAATTTTTCCTTAAGTTCCTGTGGAACTTTTGATGCTTCAGTTTCCAGCCTTTTCCTCTAGTTCTGTCAGTGGCCACCACTGAAAAGAGGCCAGCACCATCCTCCTCACTGCCTCCCTTGAGGTACTTCTAGACACTGCTCAGGTCCCCTCTCAGCCTTCTCTTCTCCAGGCTGAACAGGCCCAGCTCCCTCAGCCTCTCCTCATAGGGCAGATGTTCTAATCATGTCTATTATGTCTCCACAGACACAACTCAGATGTGCACTGAAGCTAAAGACAACGATCTTACTCCTCCACTTGAGCACTGTATTAGGACAAAGTAAGTGAAAGCTAAAATTTTTAGAACAGATATTTTCAGTTATTGATAAATATAAAGTATATAAAGCTAGACTGTGGTAAATATTGCATCAGGTAATCTTGTGAAATTAGTGGTTAGTAATTAGAATAGTGGGATACGCTGTGATACTATCTATTACACATTTTTCTTTTATTATTGCAACTAGCAATAAACTCACTAAGATATTCAAATCACATCTAGGGGCACCTTCATTATGTCACTAAAACTGACTAAGTTAAAGTCAGTTTGAGAACTCAACTTCGTTTCAACAGGTCAAAATATGGAGACCCAGTAGTGGTTGGTTCCTGTTGTAGGGGTATAATGAGAAAAAGAGAAAAAAATTGCCATCTTGTGGGGCATGAAACCCCATGCTCAGTTTGCTCAAACTTCCCATATGTCTATGAGCAGCAAAAAGCTTCTCAAGATCACAAACCACAGTATTTTAAATGTTCTGTTAGGCCATCATTAATAGTTTTTTAAGTCATAGTCTCTCCTTAAATACTAGGCCAGTTCCTCTGATGTTAAAAGAGTTTTGTGATTATTTTAATGTCTATGTGATATTAAATTATGGACTTCTAAAAAATGTATCCCAGTCATGCTGAAGTTACTGGGAACATTTCTCAGTTACTCTAATGAGAAATGAAGGAAGCATAATGGCGAAATTTTGCTGGATTAAAAAATCAAATTTATATCAACTCCAGCAGCAGGACATTGAAAGATGATATCTGCATGTCTGGAGCAAGAAGTAAAAGCCTTATTGTCAAAGCCTGTAACATTTGTTAAATCAGCAAGCCAAGCAGCTTCATATTTCTCTTTTCATTTCCCTCATCTCCATGCCACATTTTTCCTGTTGTAAAAAAATAATAATAATAAAAAAGAAGCAACAAATGAGGGCACGGGCTGCCAAACACTATGTTCAGGCAGCGCTACCATTCTACAGGGCATCCTGTGACATGACAACAGTGATATTAGTCTAGGCTCCCTGCACATATATACTGTATTGGTTGCTTTGTTCCAGTGAAACATAAGCATGACTGTTTACGGATTAAGGGAGATAATATATAGACTCAGAAACCCCACAAAATGAGGGGTAATGCATGCAGCCTAAAGTCTGTGTTGGAATGGCTTCCATTCCTGGCATTGCATCAAAGCTGAGTACAGTTTTCGTAGTGGTGCTGTTTGTTTATTTTCAATTCTCCGCTTTAATCTTTTAGAGAAGTAATTACCAGCAAATTCCAGTGTCAATTTATTTTGTTTGTGCCCTTCTTTGGCCTATCCGATATACCCTGATCAGCCTGGCTTCTTGTCTGGGTCTCTCAGTATTCTCTATTTTGTTTAAGTACATTTATTTGATTATGCCCTTGCTGATAAAAAATTCTTGTATTACATTTTTCCTTCTTTTTTTTTTTAGAATATTTTCTTTCAGGTATGAGACAGTATATACAGAAAAGTTAAAAGAAATGAAATTAAATAACCTGTTAAGAAATTCAAAGGTACAAAAGTAATGTTTCATATCATATGACCATGGAAAATACCCCTAATTTTTAGTAAAACAAACAAACAATCCAAAAGCAGCCTTTAGTCCTTTTGACCAAGCATTCAAAATGAAATTCCTTTATCAGCCTTTCTTACCAACAAATGCAGGATAATTTCTCAGGCTCTGGGCAGAATTTCACAGTCTGAACTATCAGAACTGAGAAGTTTAACTGTAGCTACTGTAGCTTTCAAATTTTGATCGAGATTTTTCCCTTTTTTTTTCCCACATTGCTGAGTTCTATTTTAATCCACGAAAAGCCTTACCCATTGTTTACACTAATACTTCAACACCGTCCCAGAGTACATTGCCTAACATCTGCCCGTTGTTTGTTTTATCCTCTTCCAAAGGGAGAGCTGCATATGTAATAGAATGTTCTATATTTAGGCTTTTTTTCATTATTTTCATTATTATTATTATTATTATTAAAAGAGAAGAGTTGTTTTGCTTCTGCAGGCAGGTGAAGGTCATGATTTTAGTCTGTATACTGCAAAATACCAAATGAGAGAGATTTGAGTTTAAAAAAGCTAACTCTTTGGTGGGCTAAAGCACCTGGTCACCAGCAGGTATTGCTTGAACCTGCAGCCTTGCAAGCCGAGAGTCAGTGCAAACAAATATGTCTTTTTGCTATGGCTTTCAACTCTAGACATATGTGGAAGTAGTCTGATTCTGACCGAAAGATGCCTGGAATGCACTTTCCTGGGTTATTTAGGAGTTGCTGTGCAGACTTCTTTATTTCATTCTCCCTTGAAGAATACTCTTATATCACAGTCACAATCCTTAGCCACTGTCTCCACTGGCGGAAATAACATCTGTTAGCCTCGCCTGAGGGGAATAAAACTTTGATCTGTCTGGATAATATGAATTCAACAATGTAATTTATTAACCCGTTAGCGTCAGCTTTCCTCTCTGGTAGCAAGGCTGTGTGATATCTAGTACTTCTGTTTTCTTTTGAAGGGAGATAAATGGGGATTTGGAGGATCAGAGGAGAGGAGACTGTAAGCAATTAAGCCTGAATTATTGCTATGTTCTATAACAATATCAAGAAATGCTATAATACTCTCTGAATGTTGTTCCGGACTGAGCATTCTTCAGGACCTGAACCAGTTCTTCTGAGGTTCAATAGAAATATTCCCATTAAATTCCATGACCTGTGGATGTGGTTGTAAGTGAACCAGATGAGGCAAATATTGTTTTTTTTTATTGCCAATCTGATAAATTATAATTGAATTAGCAGCAAGGGTCTGTGTTCTGTTTGAATTGCACTGCACTAGGACTGCATGGCAAAATGATCACAATGCATTATCCAGACCATTTTGTTCCTGTCCATAGTGAAAACACTTGTTGAACATTTGAGTGAGGTTTCTGCCTATCTGACACCTTCTTTGTGCAGATTAATTAAGTGAAAAAAATTCTGGACCCCTCTCTGTATGGGCAAAAAGCCAAAGCTGCATTGCAGTCTATAAACTGCTTGAGAAAAATAGTTGGAAAATAAATACAGAGAATCAGGCTTTTTATGAAAGATACCTTGAGATCTGCTTCAGAATATCTTTCTGTGCTTAAGCTCCTTATTAAAATACTGTTTGAGAAAAGGCCAGTTCCTAGCTGCATAGTGATCAGCAATATCTTAAGCCATGCCAGAAAAATGTGTCAGCAGCAGTGATGCCGTGTTGTTTTTTTCACAGAGGACAGTGTGTCCACAGAGCAGGTTTCGGTGTCATTTAGCCTTAGCTGAGACAGAGTCCCTCTCAAAGCTTTGATCATCCTGCTGAGATGGTGCCTTGGAATACCCAAAGATAAAGGATGGTCTGATAGCACGAGCAGAAAAATCCAAAGGAGGCCGTGTGGAGTCTGTGCCTCCCACTTGCATTTGAGTCTTCTGTAGACAAAGACGTATTCTGAACCTCTGGCAAGGGTAACTTTCAGCACTGGAAAATACCAGACTAGGCAGACTGTGCCCAGCTCACATTTTCTGTGCCCGTGGCATTTTCTGGTTTAAGCTCAAGAAGTTCAGGGATCAACGCTGTGTATTCCTACTAAGCCCAAGGATGAAGACGGTCTTTCTACATTTGTTTTCATGTGCTCAGGCTTACAGTGGAAGGAATATTCTGCAGAAAAAAAATACGTAAAACATTTCATAAGAGCTGAAATTTTCGCTATCAGTTTACTTGCGGTTTTGCTGTGACTGGCTGTAGACTGAAAAAAGATCGCTCAGGTGGTCACTGCCGTTCAGACCTTGAGTTAAATACTGTGTGGATTCAACTTCTGGTTTTGTTTTTCACTTAATCAGCCTGCTCAAGAAAAGGACTGAGCTGTCACACCGCTGCTGACACATCCTTTCCTCGGTGACACCAAGAATGTGGCTTGCGCTCTGGCAACTCGCTGTTGTCCCCACCCTCTCACCAGTGTCTTACTCTGCTCCTAGGCTCTGAGACAGATTTTTAGAACAAATCTAAATAGGCGACGCTGGGAATGCTGTCGAGTTTGATTCTGAGAAGACCCAAAATATGAACTTGCTACAGCAAGAAACGCCATGGACCATGGTGCCATTAGTGTAATGAATCCATTGCTCTGCAGTGGATCGACTCCCTTTGGTTCAACAAGGTCATTAGAGAGACTCGTCATGGTTTAATTGAATCTTCGATCACTTTGTCATTTTCCACCATGCCTTGAAGACACTTTTGGTGACAAATGCTGCATAGATACTTTCTTTGCCCTAACAGTGCTGGTCACATTCCAGCTGAGCAGTAGCAGTCAGTAGAGAGCCAATAATAACAAATAAATAAATAGATTGAAGGTTTTTATGCATGAATGTGGACTTATTTGGAAAGACTGTCCTTGATATACATCTTCAGTGTTATCTGAAGATAGGAAGATGGTAGAGAAAAAGCAAAATGATACCACAGCAAAAGCAAAACCAGGTCATTGAAGTCTGCCATTGAAGATCTGAAAGGAACCAAAGCCAGGAACAAGAATAGCTGATAAATGAAGTCATCTGATTTCAGAGTCACACAGTTCCTCATCAGAGGCCTGACCTTATAGAAATGTGCAGATTGTCTAATAACAGCTAAGAGATCAAGCGCTGTGGTTATGTAGGGCTAATCCCTATAACCACCTTGGGGATTCTTAGTAAAGCCAAGGTATCTGTTGTGATTCAACTGATGCTGAGGACTCACTATTGCCTAGAAAAGACTAGAATAAGTGTAAGGAGACTGAACTCCCAGTCTGGGCACTAAAAATAGTGGATGCAAGTATATCATTTCCCTTCCTTTCCCTTGGAGAAGATGTAAGTAATTGCTCCAAGGGAGTCCATCCAAAACTTTGAAGCAGTTTGTTTGAGGGATGTTGGGTTACCACTCCAATAATGTGATTAACTGACGGATGTAAAAATATTGCTTTTATTTCTAGGTGGCACGGAGCTGTTATTGACTGGAACGGCACGGAACCAATCTTGTGACTGACCTGGCCTGCACTTTATTTGTAAAGAGAAAAAGGAAACGACTGAATTAGCACATTCGTATTCCCACCAATACAGGAAATAGGACAAGAGTTATGAAGTTGACGATGAAGAAGAATGACATGGTTGTGCGCAGGCTGAAAGAGGTTCACCTCGTGCTTCAGATATTTTGCTTATAATATAAACAGAATTTACATAAACTTTGGTCACTGCCTTTCTCATACAGTTTCTGAGAGCAGATTGAGCTTCCACTGCCAAATCAAGCTTTCAGATGAAGCATAAAGTTGTCAGCATCCCCTTGACGTCTGTTTCTGGATGCACTCTGTATCCTGCAATTGTTCCCAAAAGTCTGATCAAAGGACCTGCACTGAGATTTCCTTCACTTTCCTTGCCTTCTCAGTCCTGTCTAGTTCTTCACCTATTCTTCACCAGAATAAATACAAAATGTCATTCAAGAAATATATACTCTTCTTGCACTGATATGGAGAACTCTAGTTTTGCACTGAAAGTATGGGGAGCCATATAGACTTTTCAGCTATAGCCTGACCTACTCAAAGTTCTTGCAGTCTCATAAAATATGCAGTAAGGCTTGTGGTTTTGTGTTATCAGAATAATAGTAAAAATGTGTTCCTTATACTGGGTGCAACTGTGCAATGTGCTATGGTGCCTCACACTGATGTAGCTTATTTTTCTTTCTGGATGAGAGAAAGTACTACCAGTGTCTTTACTTTTGTATCAGTATAATACTAGGTTTTATTTATACCAAAGTGCTGGCTAAGATCAGTGGTGGTTTGCTTCTCCACAATTACAAGAAAACACAAAAGCTTTAGATTTGACATTTAAAGGGTGATATCTATCTGTAATAGATACTGTTCTTCATGGTTTGACAGAGTGCATGTATGAAAACCATATAATATGAAGAAATATCCAGAGGTACGAAGGCAACTTGTTGTGTTCTGAAATATATTCTTTAAGTGACACATTTCAGCAACACTTTGCCAAAATGGGAACAGTTTAATCACCTACAGATTGGAAAAAATACTTCGGAAATTGCTACTGAAAATATTGCAAATGCGTGCCTCTAATTTATTCCTCTGCCTTAAGAGTGAATATCTTATGGAAGTTTAATAAAGGACTTCTGTTTTTGATTTTTATCATCCATTCCTGACTATGTTACAGGTATATTATATCGCCTTTGGTAAACCTCTTTATCTATGTGAGTTTATGGGCATGTTTGCATCATGGGCTTAAGACTGCCTTTTTAAATCAGATTCACTCACCATATAGACTGCAGACACCATAGTTCCCCGTTAAGAGATTGCATCAGGGTCCAGGTAATTCAGCGTAATTGATGTTCAGAGTTTCTGGGAGTGGAAGGTTATAAACATTGAAAGATCACAGATCCAAAGCCGTCTCTTACGTATCGTGAAAAATCACAGATAAGAGTGGCCGAGCATGGTGTCTTTCAATCCACCACCTTATGGTAAACCTTTGCTTCTCTTAGATTTTCTGTGAATTGATTTTCCCACCTATCTCACAGATATATTAAAAATACATATATATGCAGAATGTATTTGTCCCTGGATGGAAAATAGTATGGCAATAGAAGTATGATGGAAACTTTTGGATGATGTGTAACCCAAAAATTCCTTCCTATACTTTATAATCTAGTGAACCCATGCCATTTACTTTAAAAGAGTGCTTTAAAGTATGCTAGTGTGGAGATAAACTTCCACTCCCCAACGAGCAGCAAAGATAAGCAGGGAGCTGCCTTGTGACAGGCCTGAGTTTCTCTGGAGTAAAATGTGAATGTCTACAGATGGGTTCAGATGAACAGTTTCTCTGAGCTTCTTTTATAGCTGGCAAGGAGAAACAGGCCACATTATGGTGCAAGCCGTCAAAGCTTGTTTCCACATTGACTTTAGGGTGAGAAGGGTTGTACCAGACTGTAGGGTTGCATGCTGAGCATGTCTCTGCTAACTATAAAGGGAGCCCGAGGTGTTTGTCTCAGATGAATTTCATTCATGAAGACAGGAGGGTTTTTCAAGGTTTTGGAAAGAGGTGAAAATTAGTGAATAGTCTATATTTTATAGCTAACCTTGGAGGACAAACAGCAAGGAGAATAGGTCCTGAGCACTTAGCCTCTTTCTGAAATGGGCTGCAAAGAGACTCCTTCGTCACGTCTTTTTTTGCTGGAACATAAATCTCTATTATCATAGAATTTCAGATAGCCAGAACTTTCTTATCCATTATCTGAAATTATGCCCATATTTATTTGTTCTGAAAAGTCTACTGCCTATAAGTCATCTTCTTAGGCTGAACATCTTCCAGATTCAGCAAGGACTTCAGTCACGAAGGTAGAAGTAGATTTACACAGACCACATCACCAAACCACTCCAGGTGCAGGGTGACTCTCATGACCAAGCTGGAGCATGGATAAGCTCAAAGCCCTTTCCAGTACCACAAGGAGGAAGTAGGGTAATGAAACATTTATTTAGATATAATTCTTTTGAAAAAAATAAAAAATAAAAAAAGATCATTCCCTCTGCATCTGCATCAAGCAAAATATCTGCACATTTTTATTTCATGTAAAATGCAAGTAGTTATTTACCTTCACAGACCTTTTTTGAACCAGAGAGGGCCACAGTATGTTAGATGGCAATGTAAGAACCTTTACAGGGGTCTGTGCAGAATCACATCCTGTTCCAGCAGCTTGCATCTAGTTGTTTTTTAATTATGTTTTCCTTTTCATTGTTTCCCATTTTCTTTTTCACAAATTGACGAACGTGACTTCCTGAAGTTAACAAAGCAGCAACTGTTTGGTAATTATGCATTAAAAGACACTGGGTAACATTTGGTACTTGGGCTCTATATATGGCTTGATTTCATTCTCTTTCCTTCTGCAGTACAATAAATATCCCTGCTGCTGAAAATTGACCCCTTAGCTGACAATAAACATGGCATATTGTAATGAATAGTTAAGCAAACATGGAATTATGGCAAGGTGTCGTATATGTCACCTTTGTGGAAAATGTATATTTAACTCTGCTCTGTACAGAATGTCCTGTATAAATAAAACATTCAAAACAACGGTAATAGTAACATCGCAGATTCCTCCTCTTTTTTTTTTTTTTTTAATAATTCATTTGCTAGTGAAATTTAATCGGAGATATTGGACTGTGAATGTTTCATGGGCCTCCCCAGTTCAGCAATGATGAACAGTTCAGTCTCCTTCTTCTCAGAGAGCAAGCTCAGTGCTGGAGGTGGCTGAGACGTGGTGGAAAGACCACACTGAGCTTGGTGATGCTACAGTGGGCAGATACACATGATTAGGCCAACTGGTCTGAAGCTATCTGCAAATGAGAGGTGCTCTTTGGCTCCATGTAGATGTCACCAGGCTATGTTTGAAACTCACCCAGTGGAATGAAAACTGCAAAGGAGAGGTAGACGTGTTACAGAGCTTTATTCAGTAGTCTGTGCAGAGTGGGTATGTCCACATACTGAGTACATTTCTTATCCCTCTATAGGTCTACTCCGCAGTAGGAAAAAAAAAGTTTAAATATTATTTTAGCAAGACCCACTTGTGATAATTTATTACTGTGTAGTAAATTCAGACTTAATTTGATGACCATGCTACTAAAATACAAAAATTCGGTAGCTCTCTTTTTTTCTGCTGGTTAATTCAAGTATAGGGTTAGCATGTTTGGCAGACCTAGTATGCTAGTATTTTTTTTTTTCTGCATATCTTCCCATATCATAATGTGTCAGCTACTTGCATGGATTTTCTTAACCCAGGGTAAGTTTGCTAAGGAAGAAACTGGCTTGAATTGCCTCCCTTGTACCAGACCCAGTACATGAGCAGTTGCAGTGGATCAGGTGTATTTCAGGTGTATTGCAGTAATTTGCTTCTGCAGAGTGTGCTTGTAGAAACCTAAATTGCATTGTTTTGCCTTATTTTGGTTTTCTGTTGATCAGTAAGATCTAGTTGGAAACACAAAGGTTGGAAAAGAAAATGATTGCTCCTACATGTCTGTGTGACACAGGGCCTAGCCTGCTACATAACCTAAGGAAAACTCATTCCATTAAGAACACTTTGTATATAATAGCTCTCTTCATCTATTTGTTTTCACTGGCTGAAAGCTAATAAATCCTACATTACTTCTGAAATAAGGAAGCAGTTTCTCCTTAGCAGTTTTGTTTATAAAACTAGAAAAGGAAAAAGCATGCTTTCAATCACATATTTTATTTGTCATTTCAACCAGGGTGGGTTAGGATTGTTGTTACAGTGGAAAGCGCTGTTTTTGTGATGTCCCATATTAACAAAAGTTTTTGACAATATCAAATTGGAAACAGGCATCGATTTAAAGGAAAAAAAACTTTTGGGTATATTATTTTCTTAAATAAATATTTATTGGCACTCCAAAATTTCAGTTTTTATTTCCTTTACCGTTTGCTTGAAGGAGTTACATTAGACTACAGCAGTTGTACATGATGCAAGCTGTGCTTACAGGCAGAATTCTTCACTGTGCAGAAGAACAGATAATGTTGAGATCTTGCTGTCAATTTTTACTTGAGCTTTGGCTTTTAGCATCAAGGTGAAATTGGGTCAGCGTGTGGTTTCCTGGGTGATGTATATAGCATATGCTATTAAGCACCCATTATGTAGCAGATCCTAGATCAGCACAGTAGTTAAGATTTCACAGAAACTTATGGATGCAGATGCTTGGATTTTTAAGGTATGTTTGAGAAACCTTAGACTATTTCTAATGGTGGTGTCCTGAAATAGCCACAGGTTGGTATGAGGCACTTCAATGCAGAGACTAGATCCAGATCCTCAGTGATGGTAACGTTTCAGAGAAACTTATGGATGCAGATGCCTGGATTTTTAAGGTCTGTTTGAGAAACCTTAGACTATTTCTAATGGTGGTGTCCTGAAATAGCCACAGGTTGGTATGAGGCACTTCAATGCAGAGACTAGATCCAGATCCTCAGTGATGGTAAATATGGACATTAAATAATATAGTGACATTAAATAAATAATAGTGACATTAAAATTGATCTGAAGCCAAGTTAATAAGCAACATTCTGTAATCGAGGCTGATGGTTTCATGTGCAAAACTGTTTTAATTTTCACAGCAGGCTCACGCATTGCCTGCTGGGAGATGTTTGTAACATGTTCTGACTGCTTGCCATATCCATGCCAATAAATGGATTGGAAAGTGGAGATTGGAAAGGTCCTCAAAATAAAGGACCTTCATAGTCTGAAACAGGGCATCCCAAACAGGAAGCAGCCAATGATGCCACGTGTTTTTGGCAATGATGTTTCCTGTGTCACATTAGTGATTCTACTCAGGCAGCTTCTGTCTGTAGGGGTTTAATCTGTCTATGAAGTACAAGTAAGATCCACCTAATCTAGCTAGA